TCTTCTCCAGATTCCCAACTCCGGGATCGGAGGGAATGGACGCTCTCAGGTGTCGGTGGCCGGCGCAACTCCTGTACGCCTTTCCACCGCTGCCATTAATACCGGCAACCATACGCAAGTTGATCCTGGAAGGTGCAGAAGTAATCTTGATTGCTCCACATTGGCCACGGCGCCCGTGGTTTGCCGACCTCGTGGATCTTTCAATATCACCCCCATGGAGGATTCCCCCGGACAGAGTAATACTCAGTCAGGGCAAACTTTTACATCCAGATCCTCAGTGGCTACAACTAGCCGCTTGGCATTTGAGCGGCAAAGTTTAGCCAAACAATCCTATTCCTCAGGGGTGATATCGATCATACAGGCATCAAGACGACCTTCGACAAACAGGATCTACGATGCTACATGGAAAGGTTTTTACAGGTGGTGCGTCCTACTTCACCTAGATCCAACCTCAGTATCTATTGCCAATATTCTAGATTACCTATTGGAAGGACTTAATAAGGGCCTAGCAGTCAACACTATTCGTAGACAGGTATCAGCCCTCTCAACTGTACTTTCCTGTGACAACTTAACTTCTCTGGCGCAACATCCAGCAATTAGCGCCTTTTTGAAGGACGCGGCCAATACTAAACCTCCCGTTATACACAGGTACCCATCTTGGAACCTGCCTAAAGTTCTTCAAGCCTTGGCATCAGCCCCCTTTGAGCCTCTTGACTCATGTTCTCTTCATCACCTATCGCTAAAGGTAGACCTTCTAGTGGCTATTACTTCAGCAAGAAGAATTTCGGAACTAGCAGCACTGTCAGTGAGGAAGGATCTCTGTACCTTCTTCAAGGATAAGGTCGTTCTTAGACCAGACCCTGCTTTCATCCCGAAGGTAAACAGCATCTTCCACAGGTCTCAGGAACTGATTCTTCCTGATTTCTGCCCAAAACCCAGACACAGACTAGAGCATAGATGGCACAAGCTGGACGTGCGTAGAGCGCTGTGTTTCTACGTAAAGCGCACTTCGTCCTTCCGTAAGACGGAAGCATTATTTGTTTCCTTCCAACCATCAACTATGGGAAAGAAGGTGTCATCTTCTACCATAGGTAGGTGGATCAGAGCCTGTATAGCCCAAGCCTATGTCTCGCAGGCACTTCCAGTGCCCACACACGTGACTGCCCATTCAACACGCAGCGCAGCCACATCTGCTGCGTGGTCCACACAAGCGTCGGTGGAAGAGATATGCAAGGCCACAACCTGGTCTTCTCCTTCTGTATTCATTAGGCATTACCGTTTAGACTCCTTTGCCGCAGCGGATGCTGCCTTTGGTAGAAGAGTGCTACAGCAAGTTGTATCTGCTCAGGATTCAGTGGCCTAGACACTCCCTCCCAGGGGGACATGAGGGCTTTGGTATGTCCCATCCATTGGACTCTACAGCCATCCTGCTGGAGAAGGGGCGTTGTCTTACCTGAACGCCTTTTCTCAGCAGGATGATGTAGAGTCCAAGCCCCCCCAGGTATTAGGTCTAGGCAGGTATCGGACAAGGAGCTACCATATCAATTCCAACAGAAGATTCTCGCCTCAGTCAAAACTGGGGTCACGCCCAAGGGAAGGGTGTGGCCAAAGTTTTTACCCAGTCTGCCGGGCAGGAAGGCTGTCATAGAACCCATCCATTGGACTCTACATCATCCTGCTGAGAAAAGGCGTTCAGGTAAGAAAACGCCCCCTCCATCACTGGAGATTTTTAAGAAGACACTGAACATCTACCTGTCTGAGACAATATAGGTTCTCCTGCTCGAGCAGAGGGCTGGACTAGAAGACCTCCAAGGTCCCTTCCAGCTCTATTCTATTCCTATAAGTTGCTCTCATTTTGTTCAAGTGTTTTACAAAAATGCATTCATTGGGAGCCTGGCTGGACAGGGCTTTAAATTCTTTTATGGAATGGTGTTATTCCAGAATCCAGCTGATTCTCAGAATCCTTTGAAGACATCTATGGAAAACACTTGTGCCCAAGGGCCAGAAGGAAGGACCATGCTCTCCCTACACTAAATTAATGCCAGTTTGATCCCACCTCCCTTGTCATTATGGGCCTGGGACAACAATCAATGGCCAAAGAGCAAATGTAGCATGGCTTGTTGCCTGTTTAAAGAGAAAAAATACTTTAGTGTGTCATAACCATAGAATGCTTATTTCTAGATATGTTTAGGCCTTGATTAGATACAGAGAGGTTTTCATCAGCTGCACTATAGGGCAAAATAAAGTCTTTCATACCATCCCAAAGCCTGCCCATGTTTGATTTATAAGACCAGTGCTTTTTTTGTAAAAAAAAAAAAAAAAAAGGTGCCAGAACTTACACACGTCATACAACCCACCTTGCCTACCCTACAAGGTTCCATCCAAAAAAGGTGCCGGAACTCCGTTCTGGGCATTCTATGACAAAAAAAGCCTTGTATAAGACTTTATATCTTCTGGCTGGAGAAAGAGTGAACTGGAGTGAAGAAAAAACACAATGCAATGCAAGAGGAGATGGGGATCAAGATTCTGTTCTGTTCTATCTCTCTGTCCAAGTAGAAAGAAGTGGAGGGTGAATTCCTGTTCTGCTGGAAGCAAGCATTTTCTTCTTTGGACTCTGCCTTTATTTACACTTAGAGAGTTGGCAAGCCTGAGCCGATAGCACTCTTTTTGATTGAGATTTTCTGCCTCCTGTAGTAGTCACAGTTGCATTTTTAATGTGTACAGGATCAAAGAACAGCAAGAACTAAGTTGAATCATATGCTAAATTGTCACTGCTGTCTGATTCACTGTACCCTCCTCTCTGTATTTTGTACAGAGAGCAAATCCATAGTCACTTTCTCAGTTTTTGTTCAAATAGAGCTACTTCAGTCTTTATTAGATTTGATTGGTTTACATTTGATTACTATAATATTCAGCATTTTGAAAACAATGCATAAACAACCTGGAAGATGGGAGACACAGGAAATATCTCTGTTGTAATCTAGATTTGGAAGTCAAAAAAGCATTCCAGAAGAATAGCAAACCATTTCTAAATTATGCCAAGAAAAATACATGGATAACTCCATGATCATCAGGTTTGAAGCTAAAATTAAAGATAATTGTTATATGATTTCACTTTTTCAGCTATCCTTGAGATAAATTGAAATTAAATAACACTTAATGTATATTATGCTCTAATGGTCATAATCTTGGCATATTTATTATCCTCAGTTTTCTAGTTCTTCTGTGTCTAGGTATGGGCATTGTTCAAAGATCTAAAATACAGTACATTGATCATATGATTTTTACAAAGAGCTCAAAATTATGTGGTAAATTTTCTTTTCTGGACTTTCAATGACAAAGAAAAATTAGGAAAACAGAGCTAACTAAAAAATAACTGTGTCTATAAATATGGGTGACATCAGAAATAAGAAAAAAGAAAGTATGGAATATCTATATGTAATTAGCCCCTATATGTAATTATATGTAAGTAGCCCCAAGTCCTACTTAATAGTATTCTTGAAAAAGGGAATACAAGTGATAAGAACATTTCTCCCGATTTGTGAAGTTGCCTAGTTGAACTTGCCCAGTTTTGGAGAGATGATTCTGTTTTCAGGACTATTCAGGAATAGGAATCTCACTGACTCATAACTTTTGATTGACGTCCATTCTTAAAACTTACAATTAACTCAATTTAGCTGCCCAGTTAAAGCAAGCCAGCACCTATGTTGGGCTGCAGTGATTTGGGTAGATATTGGAAGAAAATGAACACCTTACTAACAATAAAGACATTATTTCATGGCAATAGTATACCACTCCTGTAATTTACCAAGAAAACCGCATGGATAGACCCTTTAAAGTGTTTGATGATGGGCCCCTCTGACTATACATTGACATCCACTGGTGAAATTAGCTTTAAGCTCTTATAGGGACAAATGAGTAAAAGAAAATGGGACTAAAGCAACCAAATGGATTCTGGAACATAACAATCCAGAGTTCTCATTTCAGACATAAAAGCAGGGCTTAAACTAGCCAAATTTTGGACATATTATGCAAAGACCAAGCACTTTTGAGAAAACTATAATGCTGGTAACTGAAAGAGAAAAAGAGAATGATCAGCAGAAAGGCAGCTAGACTGAATTACAGCTTCAGTGAGGCATCACTGGAAGATTCAAAGGACCAGTCTGGGAACAGATTGTTCTGGAGAAAATCTGTTTATGTGATTGCTAAGAACCAACACCTATATTACAGCACATGATAAATCATCAATATGCTACTCCAATCACATTCAACTCTGAGAGACTTATACCTTACATATAGTAATTAAATTAAAACAAAATATCAATATAGCATATCTAATAGCTTCAAGAGCAGCCAATACTCTCAGTTACTCTCTCACTCTATGAGGAATCAGAAATTCCTAATCCAGACTTCTTTTAAATCACCCAGGTTTGGCAGCTTTCTAAAACTTTAGCTGAACTACAACAGCCAATCAGATGTCTGAGAGAATGTTCTTCCAATTGTGGTCCCATCTGAAGCAGGAGATCTTGCATTTACCTCTACGTGCAAAGATAGCAAAGATATTGCTATCTTTGAAGACCAATAGCTGGGAAATGAGTCACCTGTGGCTTGATCTCATATTGGTAGTCCAGAGTTTCAAAGTGATGGTTTTCGATACACACACACACACACACACACACACACACACACAATGAGAGAGAGAGAGAGAGAGAGAGAGAGAGAGAGAGAGAGAGAGACAGTATGGTATTGCTTTAACCAGTCACCTGAGACTTCCAAACATTTGTTACATGATTCCTCTACACCTCTGGGCAATTTAGCAGTGAAGAATTGCACATATGAAGAATACAAAATGCTTTACACCCCTAACCCTTTTCTTAGCAGTGACTTACAGGCTGTGCTGAATAATCTCTAGCTGGATAAATGATTTAATATGACTCTTTTCAGTGAATAATATAAGTTCAGCTGAATAATATAAATTAGACATCAGAACTAAGGCTTACTTAATTCATCAGATTACCCAAATTCCTAGGGAAAATTCACAAGCAAGATTACTAGCCCTTCCTGCTGAGATTCCCAGCAACTGTTAGGGCTTCCCTGCCGGTCCACATCTTCAGCTGCTTCTTCGCTATGCAAGAACCATCTGGAAACGAAGCTGGCTTTAAAAAAACCCTTTATTGGATTTCAAACCCTTCCTTTGCTTTGGCAACAGTGATGACCTGATGCTGTGTCTGAGTCATTTTTATCCCAACCTCTGAGTTATGGATTCCCATTTATTTACCCCTCCTGTCAGGCCCCAAACCAAGAATAACACAATGATAATTCTTCCAAACTGAGTCATTTATTGTTTCACACCTATAGACAAATTCTTGCCAGACTGAGCACTCTATCATCTGCATCTATAATATATTCTGTGAACTGTTAGGGAGGGGCTGTCTTCACTCTCTTTCTCTCTCACATAATACATAGGCTGGATTGCCTCTTATTCCTCTGGAATGCTGCCCCTCCTTCCTGGAATCTATCTCTTCACTGCATTCCTTCACACCTCTTGACTCATTAAATATAAAAACCCTAAACACTACCTTTACCGCTTTTTGTTTCTGTCATTGGGGCAGAAAGAGGAAACTGACAGAATTCTTGGTCAGTTTCATCTGGTTTTAAAAAGAATTCCCTTCCCAAAGGCCCATTATTGTGCTGTTCTATCAGTGAACTTCCCAAAAGAAGGAGAGGTCTTTCCTTGCAGCATCAATGACCTTGTTAAAAACCAAAACAACATAAATCAGCTTTTCAAAGGCTGAGGATGGGTGGAAAACAGTATCATGAATCCTTGCCTTCCAGAGATAGTGGGTGGCTCAGATGCAGAAAGCTGGAAGTATTGGATTTGCCCTAAGTTATATTTCACTGATATACTGACTCTGATCTTAAAGGTAGGTACTATATTGTAATTATAACCAGATACTTTTAATGCCTTTCTCCTACATGATATTATAGGAGACTGTTCATTTATGGTAGAAAAAAATCAGCAGGTGTCTGTAACACCTTTTCAGAACACAGCTGACTTTATCAGATTCACCTTTCAAACTTATGGCTTTTAAGAGGCCTCACCTTTGGTTCTGGAATGTCTCCCTGGTAGACATCAGACTGGCCTCTTCCCTGACAGGATTCTGGAGGATCCCAAAGACCAAACTCTTCCAGACGGCATTCTAATCTTTTATCTTTTTATTCTTTGCTTTTATTGCACATTTGAATGTTTGCGTTTATTTTTAACTGTTTTTCTCTTTTCTGGTTGTGTTTCTTTTATGTTTTAAATTCTTCCAGATCATGTAATTTGCCAAGAGTAGATTGCAGCCGGATACCAATGGAATAAACAACTGATTGATTGAATGTATACTCACCTATACATGTGGCTTGCCTTCCTTCCTTCCTTCCTTCCTTCCTTCCTTCCTTCCTTCCTTCCTTCCTTCCTTCCTTCCTTCCTTCCTTCCTTCCTTCCTTCCTTCCTTATTTTCTATTTCTTGCTTTCCTGAGAAAGAATGGCAGGTTTCTTGTGTGAAGAACATTATCTTTTTGGCCTTGGGAATATCATGTTTTAGGAGCATGAGTTCCAAAGCAGCTCCAGCTGCTGTTATATTCCAAGCTGATCAAGAAGATAGTGGTCAGTGGATATCTAATATCAGGCCAGAGGCATGCTTCTTGTTCTGATTTGAGAGTATCTGGAATAAGTGCATGAATTTTTTTAAGCATATAGTGTACATTGCTAGGGAAGCCTACAATGCTTTTTACTACAGAGTAGTTCTGGCAGTCTAAGATTGCTAGCTTGTTCGTTCATGCATGCACACTATCCACGGTACACTATGGGGAGTAAACTAGCTTTGTACCAGCTGAATAGGAGCATTCAGGAGATGTTGGTTCATCTGGGCTTTCTTCTGCCAACCGTACTTCACATCCAGGCAGGTTTGGCGCTGGCTTCCTGCTCAGAATGCTGCTAACTTTTCCCACTGGATGATACCTATTTATAAAAAACAGAATAGAAACACAAGTTAAGATAGGCAAGAAAATGGTAAGTGAGCACTTGTCCAGCCTAGACGAGTTCAAATCACTAGGACCAGATGGATTACATCCCCCAAGATTCTCAAGGAACTGGCAGATGTGATCTCAGAACCACTGAACTATATTTTTCAAAGATCCTGGAACACTGGGGAACTACTGGAGGACTGGAAAAGAGCTGATGTAGTTCCCATCTTCAAAAAAGGGAAAAAAATGGACCCAGGAAATTACAGACCTACTGTATCAGCCTGACCTCAGTACTTGGGAAGATTCTGGAAAAGATAATCAAACTACGAATCAGCGAACACCCAGAGGCAAACAAAGTCATTACTAAAAGCCAACATGGGTTTGTCAAAAACAGATCATGCCAGACAAATCTTATTGCATTCTTTGACCAAGTGACAAAATTAGTGGATCAGAGGAACGCTGTGGATATAATTTACTTGGATTTCAGTAAGGCATTGATAAAGTAGATCACAACCTACTACTTGGTAAGATAGAAAAATGCGGATTAGACAGCATCACCACCAGATAGATCCGTAGCTGGCTGACCGGCCGTACTCAGCGTGTGGTCCTCAATGGAACTGCATCTACATGGAGGGAAGTGTGTAGTGGGGTGCCCCAGGGCTCTGTCCTGGGCCTAGTGTTATTCAACATCTTCATCAATGATTTGGACGAGGGGATAGATGGGGAACATCAGATTTGCAGATGACACCAAGCTGGCAGGAATAGCCAACACTCCAGAAGACAGGCTTAAGATAAAGAAGGATCTGGACAGACTTGAACACTGGCACTATCTAACAAAATGAAATTCAATGGTGAAAAAAACAAGGTTCTACATTTAGGCAAGAAAAACCAAATGCACAGGTATAGTATAGGGGATACCTTGCTCAATAATAGTAACTGTGAGAGGAACCTTGGAGTCATAGTGGACAATCACTTAAATATGAGTCAGCAGTGTGCTGTAGCTGCCAAAAATGCCAACAAAGTGCTAGGCTGCATTAACAGAGGGATAGAATCAAGATCACGTGAAGTGTTAATACAACTTTACAATGCCTTGGTAAGGCCACACTTGGAATACTGCATCCAGTTTTGGTCACTGCCATGTAAAAAAGATGTTGAGACTCTAGAAAGAGTACAGAGAAGAGCAACAAAGATGATTAGGGGACTGGAGGCTAAAACATATAAGGAAAGTTGCTGGAATTGGGTATGTTTAGTTTAATGAAGAGACGGACGAGGGGGGACATGATAGCAGTGTTCCAATATCTCAGGGACTGCCAAAAAGAAGGGGGAGCCAAGCTATTTTCCAAAGCGCCTGAAGGCAGGACAAGAAGCAACGGATGGAAACTAATCAAGGAGAGAAGCAACCTAGAACTAAGGAGAAATTTCCTGACAGAACAATTAACCAGTGGAACAACCTGCCTCCAGAAGCGCTGAATGCTCCAACACTGGAAGTTGGAGCATTCACCGAAATGGTATAGGGTTTTCTGCCTGAGCAGGGGGTTGGACTAGATGACCTCCAAGATCCCTTCCAACATTATTATTATTATTATTATTATTATTATTATTATTATTATTATTATTATTATTATTTACTTGCATTTTTACATGCTTTCAAACTGCTCGGTGGGCAGGAGCTAGGGACAAATGATGGGAGCTCACTCTGCCGCATGGTGCTCTGGGTTCAATCAGTCAGAGTGCCGACCATATGTAGCTGACATCTAATGCTGCTGCACCCCGCACCCCAGTGCACAAATATTTTTAATCTGTAGACCTATTCGATCCTTCCTTCTATCACATGAATTGTTGCAGGTATACATAGTGTATGCTTTGAGTAACAGAACAGTTAGAATATCTTGCAGCACTCAGCCAATATGGGCAGTGGTGGGATTCAAATATGTGAACAACCGGTTCTCTATGTGGATACCGCTTCCGGAAGTCTATTCTGGGCCTGGGCAACAAAAAATTAGCTACCGGTTCTGCTGAACTGGTGCGAACTAGCTGAATCCCACCACTGAATATGGGCCATGCAAATGTATTCCGAGGTGGATGAGGTCCTTGGGACTATTGTCAGCTCTATAAAGAACAGATTAAGAAAACAATGATATATAGATCAGGATTATTTTTATCCTCCTCTTCATCAAGATCATATGCCTTCTGCATCTATGAAGCTGTCATGCCATGAATTGCCACCTATTCACTTGGCAGCTGTGGGTCAGGATGTTCAAACTACGGAATGATCATGTCTGATCTAATCCTATATATGGCAATGCAGTTCACTAAATTTTATATTATTTCAGTCAAGCTCCTTTTAAAATTCCATTTAACACAAGAATGAAAAAATGCCCGTGACAAAGATTTAAAAGATACTTTATAGCCCAATTCTTCAGTTCCTTAAGCTGGTATGTTTGGTTTTTAACAGATCCAAATTGACATGAGATCAGGGGAGCCAAAGACGTGAGTATAATCACAACTATCTGAAGGCACGTTCTTTTGAAACCCGCCAGTTTTAACTTCCAGGCATGTTTGGACGAGTGAGGTGGGATAACAGTTGGCTTCCGTCCAAATATTGTGGTTTTGCTGTGGGTTTTTTTTGGATTAGTCTATGTCTTTTATCAGATTACTGATGACTGTGGCTGTTTTTATGTGATAGTTTGAAGGCTGTTCTTTGCAAGTGATCTCCTGATGATTATTTGGGCTGATGAAAAAAGATGAGGTCATGTTCTTTGTGGGGTCGCCAAGCCTTGCTTTGCACCATCGATGGACAGACTGGTCTAATACAGCCTGTGACAAAGTAGTTTCCCTTGGAATAGAATTTTCTTCAAAACAGAGCGGTGTCCTTGAGGGGGTCTCCAAACTTGGCAACTTTAAGACTTGCAGACTTGCTGACTTGTAAACTTCAACTCTTCTGGGAATTGAAGTTTACAAGTCTTAAAGTTGCCAAGTTTGGAGAGCCCTGTTGTTGAGCAACACTGCCCTTCATTTTTCTTTGTTCCTGTCCAAAACAAGGGATTCCACTAGAAAAGGCTGGGCCACTTTGGTAAATATATTCTCTCCCCAAAAACTTAAAAGAAAAAATAGAATTTTGTTACTCGGCAAAACATTTATTTATTTATTTTAGATTTAGGGCACACCCAAACTTTCACTAGGTAAAAATATTAACCATGTAACCAATGTGAGGTTTTGTTAAATCTGTTATATTTTCCCTTGCAAAAAAAAAAGTTGAATCTAAAATGAGTGAAAGAGGAATTTAAAAACAGAGATTCATAACACGGGGAGGAATTAGCAGGGAACAGAAGATTCTAGTTGCCTCTAAATTTATTTTATTAAATTATATTAATATGCAATTAAAAATAAAAATACAATGTTTTATTTATTTATTCTAACTTTGATATTTAAGATGACAAACATACCTAATTACTCCTTCCTTCTTTTCTCCACAAGGACCCTGTGATATGAGCTCGGTTGAGAGAGTGTGATTGGCCCAAGGTTTCTCAGTTGGCTTTCATGCCTAAGGTAGGGCTAGAACTCACAATCTCATTTTTTATTTAATGTTATTATCTTTTGCCTTATAAAAATTGTAAATTTGTTTGACGGAGGGGCACATGCACAAGGTTTTGGGACAATTGCTTGTGGCTCCAGCACCACACGTCATGCTTCTCTACTGCATGAGATAGGAAAGCTTTCAGTGAGCCAGCCAATATAATATAGTAGTGTAACACACAGTTTATGATAAATCCAGAGGCATATCCTTAGGTGGAAAAAAACATGCAACTTTCTTTCTATATGCTCATTTGAATCGATGAGCATACAATTTTCATAATAGCAATAGAACTTAGACTGATATACTGCTTCACAGTGCTTTACAGCCCTCTCTAAGCGGTTTACAGTGTCAACATATTGCCCCCAACAATCTGGGTCCTCATTTTACCAACCTCGGAAGGATGGAAGGCTGAGCCAACCTTGAACCATTCAGATTCAAGCTCCTGGAGTGAGCAGTGAGTTAGCCTGCAGTACTCTTCTTGGGAGGAGGCCATTTCATCTACCTGGCGCATTAGGATGAGAAGGCAGGATGTATTGCCTATATTATGGATGTACATCTGGTGGGACCATGCAAAAGAGGGTCTCGGTAGTGGCCCTTCCCTATGGAACATCATTCCCCCAGAGGTATGTTTGGCTTCTACTTTGCTGCTTTTCCAAAAAACCCTGAAGAAGTTGTTTCATCAGTGGACCTGGGGAACCCAAATGGAGAGGAAGCTGATCAAGTGGTTGGTTTTATTGTGTTGTTTGCTGCCATGGGGGTATGGGTTTTTTATGTTGCAAATTTTAATGTTGTAAGTTGCCCAGAGACATCTCTGTGTGAGTTGGGCAGCCATATCCATTTGTTTAATAAATAAAAAAAACTTTTTCTTGTTCTTCATTACATGAAATAAACTTTAAACATAGGCCTCTGATGTAGAGGGATAGGACTTAGATATGGCCATTTCTCCATTCCATGAATTGCATTCCAAAATGAGAGGCTCATATAATCATAAACAAAGTGCATTACTTTTCTGCAGTCATTTTAAAATGCTTTATAATATTATCCAGTGCTATGAATTGATTCCTTCCTATTATGTCTCACCTGGAAATACCTGCATTGCCTCAGCACATTGTTCTTTCTGTCTTGGTTTTTACCAGACATACTGCAGTAATTTCCATCAATTCAGCTTTCCCTCATCAAGCACAACATAGAAGTATTGGTCTGTAGATCTTAGAATTCCAGCCAAAGATCACAATTCTTTGAAACCAAAACACATGAAGTTATCGGTTTGGGAAAGACGCAGTGAAGTTTAACTTGATTATCTTGAATATTTGCATAATAGTTTATTAAGTAGGTACATTTAATAAAGCCTGGAACTTAGGAAGGAATCTCAAGACATAACATCACTCACATCACTGCCAACTTGATGATACTTAAGA